ATATAAACGAGAGGAAACAGAGGGTTAGGAGATGCTTATAGATCAAGCAATCAGATTCCAACAGCAATTCAGCACTATCAAAAAGCCTTGGAAATTGCAATAGAAGGAGGATATAAACTACAGGAAACAAAGGCATACCGAGGGTTAGGATATTCTTGTATATTAAGCAATCAGATTCCAACAGCAATTCAGCACTATGAAAAAGCCTTGGAAATTGCAATAGAACGAGGATATAAACAAGATGAAACAAGGGTATACTTTGGGTTAGGAGCTACTTATATATTAACCGATCAGATTCAAAAGGCAGTTCAGCACTATCAAAAAGCCTTGGAAGTTGCAATAGAAGGAGGATATAAACTACAGGAAACAAAGGCATACCGAGGGTTAGGATATGCTTGTATATTAAGCAATCAGATTCCAACAGCAATTCAGCGCTATGAAAAAGCCTTGCGTCCGCATTACCTATACTACCTGTTGAGGATTCTATAGTACTTCATATGGCTAATTTTTTTGCTCTTTTGCCATTCATATCGACATTCTTGCGAATAATTTATGCAAATATTTTAAAGTAAGTTTATTATTTTGATTAATTTACACTTGTTACTGACAGTAGTAGCGCCTGCTGTATTTGTACAAGAAGAAAAAGTGATATTATTAAGTTCCACAAGTTCCGCAGTTCCGTGGTCTGCAGTTCCGTTAATTAGTCATACCATTAATTTAAAACGTGCGGATTTAAAGCTGAGCGAAAATTAGTACGACGCAAATTTTAATACAAGTAAGGTATATCCAGGGGCGCCGGAGCCACGGGGGCAGCGGGGGCAGCTGCCCCCGGGTATATCACGAAATTATGGCGTCACACCAGCAGTTAATAGTCATTCACGTGTAGATATGAACTCTACAAAATACAGCCATGGCGAAAATAAAGCCATGCGGGATTTGTCTCGGCAAATGAACATTATATATTGGGCCACATAAAATAAATTCCTTGATTCTCATCTCTACACTTTGAAAATGTCGAAGAGGCGGGAGGTTTATATTTTATATTTTATATTTTATATTTATATAATTTAATATATATCAATAAATAAAAGTGTCACAAACTGAAATAAACATATTTCTCCGCGAACAATGCCTGGCCCTTGAACTGAATGCGAAGTTCCGTTAAAATGCAATGAAATTTCTTTCAAGGTTCTATTTGTTTGAAACTGGCAGTTTAAAATGGCACTAAAAACCCAATAGAAAATATAAAAAACTTGACTGTCTTGAAATATTTTGTCGGGCGGTACATTTATATTGTATAACAAAATGTAAAAAATTTCACGCGGCTCTCATTAAAATATAGTCGGGCGGTGATGAGAATCAAGGAATTTATTTTATGTGGCCTTAGACAAAAAAGAATTGGAAACACAAAACGAGCCACAAAGGCAGCATTCAGAATAAATTTTTCAAAAAATATCTTGAGGAAAATATAAGCGAACCTCAAGAGAAGAGGCCTTAGCTTGTCTTGCTATTTATTACAATGTCATGTTCTCTTATACAGAATATACGCGGAATAACTTTTGAAATAATATTTGAATTCGGTTTTCCCGTGATATCGAGAATTATCATGGCCTCGGCTTGTGTTATAAACATGCAACCTCGCAGTCGTGAAAACAGCCATAGCAACATGTATACACGTCATGCTATGCAAATTTGTAATTATTTTTATTATTCAAACTTTTTGAAATGTATTGTCTTTAACGTATTTAGATGCAGGTTATTAGCATAGCATGACCAGTTGCCATGGCTATTTAGGTTGCAGTGGCGAAGCTAGGCTAGCTACCTCGGTCTTATCTGATAATAGGGAGCTTTAGCAGCGACTACGAGTACGAGATTCGTCAAACGAAACGCATGCTCAGGTGCCGCGGAACTGGGGGGGGGGGGGG